CGTGAGTACCTACTTTAATTTATACGGTTTAAAAAGATTTAATCAAACCATGCAGTTAACGACGAGATTAATTTACTTAGTCGTATAGAGAGTTGAAATAGTGAGTGGATAATCAGAACGAAAAGCTATTCCACTTAAGTGATGAGGAAAATAAGCAACCCTTGACTTTGCCAAAAGTACCAACGCCAAGTGTTTGATTGAGGACATAATGACCAATCTTGATCTGTGGCTGTTTCGATATGTCACAGGGTGATGACATCTTCCTGCAAAAAGGTCACTTCCTTACAACTCTACAAGAGATGACCACAACAGTGCAGCACAGCCAAAGCAATGCTCCCTTACCTGCCCATCCCCGAACTTCCATTTCCACTTTCCACCCCTCCACATAAATCCATCCGTCCATCCCACTGCGCTGTTTGGTCTTCCGCTGGCTTAATGCCAGCAATAGCATCACCACCCATCCTAAGACACAAACAGCGTTCAGCAGCAGCAGCAGCAGCAACAGCAGCAGCAGCAGCAACGGCAGCAACAGTGACAGAAGCAACGGCAGCAGCAGTAGCAGCAGCAGCAACAGCAGCAGCGGGACTGGTTGCACCTGACTCTATTAATGCGGGGTTGGAATAGGAGAATAACGACTGTCACGAGTGAACTGCTATCGGAATATGTCCCGGCTTATTTCTCTGCAGTCACTTGCGCCACTCCTTACTACCGCATGTGGGACTCGTTGTACAATGTGAGAGCTAAGAAAAACTGTCAGACAATATGATCCGATCGAGGTGATAACAGAGTGTTGCTGTAGCTAATTGTGCAGCTCATTTAATCGAGATGAACTTCCCATCAGGTCTCGGCCGAACAAATTACATTTGTCACCGGGTTCCATACCTCTACCACCCTGTAAAGGTTCATTATCGTGCAAGCACTGATTTCATCTCAGAATCACTCTTCACATCGATTACCATCGTACTTCCAATGTAACGAATAGTTTGAAAAAAAAAAAAACAACAAACAGTTCACTGGCAACAAACACCACATCTAATTGGAGGCTGAGAGATAAGTCACTTCCCAGAGGAAACTATCAAATTTTCATTTATCCTAGCAAACATTTGCCATACATAAAGAAAAAATGGCAGAGGTTACCAAATTGAAATTTCCTTTACTGAATTGTCAAGTGCTACACTTTCGTTTTTTATCCATAATTTCACAACAACATCGGTGCAAAACTTTTAATTTTGTCTTATTGATGGGAATCCATCTGGGTCAAAATACTAACTGTAAGGTGGCACTCCAAAAAACAACTGCTTTCCGTTTTTATTGATTGCTCCTCTTTAGAATCACAAATATATTACTTGATTGGTTTCGGTAATGACAAATTTTAAGATGACAATGCAACATTTCAAAAAAAAAACACACTTGATTTGACCAGAGATTTAAAAAAAGCCAGATTTCCAACTAATTAATAAAATTATCATCGAATCCATAAAATTATCATGATCCATAAAATCCATAAATCCACAAAATTATCATGCACTCATTGTCTTATCCGTACTATACATTTTTCTTATAATGGAGTGGTGACTTATTCACCGGAAATTTCCAAACATTTATTCAAAATTTATTTTGCTGGAAAATGTTTTACAGTAAAGAATAGAACTTTCATTTATTCCACATTATTCCTTCTACAGCGAAGTGCTTCAGGCTGAACAAACCAATACAGTTCTGAACGAAATGCTTCTGCAAAGAATACTACCGCTAAAAATATGTTCTTTGTGTTGAGATAATTGCAAAGAAAGATTTCTGAAACAGATCTGGATTTTTGGTGATCAATTTCAGTGATCACTTGTTAGCTAGCTATGACAAATTTTCTGGTCAAGTCTTTACATCAAGCAATCACCGATTTGACACGTGCAGGACAAAAAATTCATCTAGCATTTCCAGATCAAAATATAGAAACCGATTATTATCAATTTGGACTTGATTAGAAAATTTACAAAGGTTCTAAAATTTGTGGTCTCAACACATATCTCATTCCTAAACAAAGTGAGAAAATGTCGAAAACCTTGTCAATTTTGCATAAAGATGTGAATTTCCAAAAATGATTTGTTAGAAGCAATAAACATCAACTCAAGTAGCTATTTTGACGTAGTACGGACTTAATTCCTAAATCCCAAAAAGCCACGTAAATTAAATCCGCAAAAAGCAACAAACTGACTTTACAAATATTACTTCGAAATGTCAAATCGAATGTGATTTAGCATGCACACGACCGATTATCATTTGGACTTGGCCAGGAAATTTACGAAGGATCTTTGCATTTGACGTCTACAAATGCTGACCAGATGTCGCATGCTTCGTGTTTGTTAGGATTACCGCTTCTCCTAACCAAGTATGATTTGGCTGTAGCGATTTCTGAAGCCATCCTAATTTACCATCTGCGAAGTGCCTGACAGGTAAAAAAGATGTAGTGAGAAGCCATGCAATTTCGATGGCTAAATATCAAACTGATATGAAAACTACCAAACTACACTTCATCAACATTTTATTAAACATCTCGGAGAGAAACGAAATTAAAACAGAAGTACACATGGCGAAAACTAGAAGAATCATCAAACGAACAACTGACCGTGAAAATTACAATTTTCCCTCATGAAAAATGTTAACAGAAAACATTTTGCGTTTCAAATTAACAGTGACTAAACAACGCTTAAGGAATTTGTTTTCGCAGGTAAGGAAGATTATACCGGTGGTTTAAGCTCTGCTTCATTAGTGCGACTGTTGCGCTGATTCTATCTGCATATAAAGCAATATCAAACTTCGAGAAGCAAAAGCAATGAACTGCAGAGCGGAATAACTAACTGCATTTACCCTCCATCTCCTACATGCACTTTTTCGAAAAACAGCTGTTCTGCATCGACTTCCAACCTATGAAAGTGGTAAAATTCAGTGAAATCATACAAAACAAAACATCTTAACAACAAATATGCACATATTCCGTATCGCGGCAATGAATCCAGCAGGCAAAAATGGAAAAGCGAGGAACTCACGAAAAAAGCCAAAGCCACGAAAAAATTAAAAGAAAATATGAAATGAAAAATTCCCGCATTTGAATTTCTACTAAAAAATAACAGCTGGAAGTTGCAGCATAAAGATGAAACATAAAAAAAATCCTGTTGTACAGAGCTGTGTCTTTTTCAGTTGACAAATATATCAACCACAAATGTTGAAACACATCAAGTCAGGAAATGAAATTTCATTGCGATGCCCTCCTTTTATCAAAACACCCTCAACATCACTTTTCTTTTTTATTCCCTTATATTTCAATTTTCGAAGTAGTTAATCTCTCGCTCGTCCAGGTAAACGCAAAATTTTCCTGAATTGTAGCATCAGTAACAACTAAGAAAAACCCTCAGAGCAGGTGATACCAGGTAGAGCATGAACGACGTCAAAAATGAACACAGTGTAAAAACAAAAGCAAATTAATACAAAAACCGAAAGAAATTAAAGTTATTCACCTCTTGTCTATTATAACAAATAAATGTTTCTAAAACTAATCTGACAAAAAAAAGAAAACAAATGACGAGGTAGAGTATTTTTATAACACAATGCCAAGGAAATATTAACATAACGATTTTCTATAAAAACAGTCTAAGAAGGTCCGTAACAGAACTGCCTCAGGTTACGGTTATTATGAAGTGATCTCAAAAACATCTTAATCAACTTACTACTTTTTAGATTATAAGAAGCAAGACTTTGTAATTTCACATCTAAGAATTGCTACAGTAATGCTTCCTTCGGTTATTACTTCATTTTCTTGTACTCCTCTCCAACAATCAAAAACCATAGTTTTGGAAATGTAATAGAAAATAGCACTGAAGAATTAGCTTCTACACTAAATCTTGTTCACCCGATACATGTCAACTTAATTTTACAGTTATAGCCATACTGACCTTTAACATAAATTTGTAACAACGATTCCCGAGCATGCGAAAGAAGCTTTCAAATCAAAAAACGATCGAAATACAAAATGATTTCAGCATGTTTTATATGTAACGGACAAGAACTTGGCAAGTGAATTATTAAATCCCTTCTTTTTACATGCAACATTTTTTCAAAAATTTGTACATCATTTGAACAAAACCTGTGATTCTTCTGACACCATAAAACTCACGTCAGGTTGAACCAAAAAAACAAATCATTTATGGTGTTTGAAAAGAATCGACTGGTGCTACTATGCAAATCAGATTATTACCAATTGAAATTTCGGCTTTCATACCAGGGAAATTCATTTTCTAAGTTATACAGATAAAAATGATATTGTTTCACTATGTACTATAAAATGATTCCATGAGAAACAGGTCAAAACTGAGGTATTTGCAATGCATGAGCTGAAACAGGATACGCGCCTCCAAAAACGACATAACGACCACTACAATGTGTCACCTTTTTTGTACACGTTGTAGTATGCAGTTAAATGGAAAACCTGTTACAGTGCAAATGTGCGAGCATAAAAAAAAAAAAAAAAAACCAAGGTTACATTCCGCAATGTTGGTAATCACGTGTTATTGCCACGGTTCTTATGTTGTCTTCAACGACGACAGTATGAACCCTTCCAAGCAGAGTAGCAAATATTTCTAGCAACTAAGGTATGCATGCACGTTGTGCAGCTGAATCACCCGTTATATGTGCACTAAAAGATGAGTAAATGAAGGATCTCTCGGTCCCTCTAAAAAATAAAAGAAAACAAAAAAACAAAAACCACGTTTCATTCTAGTGCTTACTTTCTCACCAAAAAACACGGGTTCAGCCAATCGATACAACGTACTTTTTAGTGACATCTGTGTGATTCCAAATACCCTATTTTAATGAGATCAGGGAAGCCATTATAATAAGGGGTAACCGCACTTGGAATTATGTACCCTCATTTAAAAGTTAATGTCAAATTATATTTTTAAACAATCTAGAACAGATGCACAAGAAGCCTTATGACAATTTTTGAATTTCGAGATATATTCGTCATAATCGATTAGGCTAAATAGATGTCATCAAAAAGGACATTTTTCTTAAAATGATTCACATAGCGAAGTGAACACCATTCTAGAACGCAAATAATTACGCCGAAATGGTACGACAGAAACGTAGAACCTCATCTATTCGCCCTCTTAAAACCTAAATATTGTCGAAACTCAGCTGACTACCAGCAGATTGAGATAGTTCATGACGAATGACAGCTTCCATGTTTTCCACTTCCATCAGCGGTTGATCAGGAAGTGCCAGATTCTCCAAATCCATGGGTAAAGCTGCTGTGTTACTGCTAAATGACTGTTGTGCAGCGCAGCTTATTGAAGGATGGACACTAACAGGGATTACATTTGAGTGTATCCAATTTGATGAGGCGACATTAGCGCTTCCAGCTGAATAGCTACCATTGTATAGTACCCTAAAAGAAAAACTGATTCAAAGACCATTGAATATTAACTAGTTCACCTCACGTAACATTAAGAATCGTTACCAAGCATTATCCTTTTTTTGTAACATTAAACATCGTTACCAAGTACCATTCTTTTTTTCTAGAAAACGTTGCAGATCAGTAACCTCAAACTCAAAAAACTATCGAAATTTTAGTCTTCCTTTAATGTCAGTGTATTCGGCAGAATGACGTTACTTATAAAATTATATGAATAACAGTAATGCAGAACCTATACACAAAGAATATTTTCATTCCCAAAACGCTCTCAATAAATCAAAATGACAAAAATTACCTACCCTTGTTGATTCGGTATCCTATTCTGTATAAGATGTGTTCGCAACAACGGATTCTGGATATTTTGAACACCTCGTACAACATCCAGTTCGTGGTAAGATGGCGGCGGTTGAACACTATTTTCGGCCTGAATTAGATCACGTCAAAATGAGTATTTCAAAGAATACATATTGGACTAAAGAAACGGGTAAAATAAAAGGAAATGCATAGTATCACTTGGCATCTATGAATTTCCACCTATAAAGAACAATGGATAATACCCTGCTGGATGATGGCTCGGTTTTAATATGCGCCATCAGGTTAGAGGAAGCTGGTGCATTGGTCCCATTCAGCATTGGATTAGCCATAGGCCTGTGAAATGCTGGACTGTCGCTTTGATTCAAATTCATCTAGAAAATCATAAAATCGAGTTTGAAAGATTATCGACCGAGACTATCTTATCTTTCCAGTGCTGATTCAACATGAGTGTTTACCCTTAAAGTTTTATTAGCCTTGCAATATTCCGTGACTAATATATGAAGATGCGACAAAAGTAGTCCGGCATACACAAGAGACAGTGTGTTAGCTAAAAGTTACTTCATTGGTGCGGTCCAGGATATCGTGAGGCATGGCACTAGCAGCTTCAACAAATGGTGGAAAATCGAAACTATCGAAGTTCTCGTAATTCTCTATCATTGATGGCGATATTCGTGATGATGAACCAGGCAATGAAATATTCGATTGGGTACGAGGTCTGAAACGATAATCCCAATTTTAATATTAACATTTTTTTTTTGGAAGATGGAACGAACTTAAATTCCGCTGTAATGGCAAGCAGTATCATGGCATTCTTTCATGTTAAAAAGCACATCCTTCCTATCAAGGGATAAAATAACTCACAAAAAATTCAATGTCGTAAATGACTGAATGACAAGATTATGTTAAGAACTCTCATACAATTAAATTCTCCTAAAATCTTGAAAGCGATAATGCTAACCGGAAAGGTTCAAAACTCGATGAATCCTCTTCACCTGTATATAACTCACGGCTCAGTACTGACGCCTGAAAAAACCAAGTAACGAAAAAATCTCATTTCCTTGCAAAATTTTTGAAATTCTCAGTCAAAACAAAGAAATTCTCCATGTTATCAGAGTATGCTAAGAGAAATATTGTTGCATATGAGTTCTATACCTCTTTCGCCAAAATTAGTAGATTTAACTTTTCATACTTTCGACAACAACTAACGGTACCTGTGAACCAACAATCGAGTTACCAGCGCTGTGCAATGTACCACCCCCAGCACCTGCGCGCATTTCCATCACCTTCTTACGGGCACCTCGTCGTTTCTTGTCCATTGCTACCTTAATTGTGTATCTGTTTTAACCTGCGAAAAGCGAAATTTGAAGCAAACCATGGTTTTCACCAAGACTTAAAGACGAAATCTAAAATTAAAAAAAGCCCACTCGATATCTGTCTCACATCACTTGTTGCAGAACAGTTTCGTACTACAAAATTTAATCAAATAATGAAGATTACCTAACACATTACTAAAAATTCTTTCACACGGAATATTTTATGTTTTAGTTGTTTCGAAAATCATTATTGTATTGATAATATCTCAAATCTTCACAAAAGATCAGCACAAGAAGTTGCTTTTTTTACTTTCCTTCGCTTTTTTCTAACGTTAATGCACATTATATGACGTTTTGTTACCCTTGTCAACTTACTGACGATCCTAAGTTTTGCTGAACTAAGAAAAGAGATCCCCATGAACATTTGCGAGATGCGAAAAGCGTATACAATTTTCTGTTAACACATACGCCATCCTTAATTACACTTTTCCTCCGTAAGACAGATAAAAAATAATTCTCCCAAAAAGAATTAACTTTATGAAGGTGAAAACTGTAATGAAAGCATACTTTGGTAGTTGTCTCCAGTGTTGCAGACCGCTGTCTTCGCGGATTCCTACCTGGTTTCGCATCCGGATTGATTACCCACCACGAACTCTTCCCAGCACCTTCATTTTGTATCCGCATGAAGCGATTATGTAAAGAAAGGTTATGCCGAATTGAATTCTGCAAAGACCATGACAAATACCAAAGATTTAAATATTTCACTGATATTTATTGGTGAAAAATTAAGAACTGCTTGAAATTTGAAACATGAACCTATAATGTATAAAACTGCTCAGTACAGGAACAAAAGATGTGGGATTACGCTCCGGAAAAGTATAAGTTGTGTAAATAACTTATCCCATTTGAAGGCCTTACTTATCATATTTTACACAAAGCGAAAAACAGACCAGATATTACTGATATTTGCATGGTTTAAGAAACAAGATCTTTAAATGAAGATTTTTAGGATGCATGATAATTCTAACCTCTAGAAAATTTACGAAAATATTAACAAAAATGATGGAAATTATGAATCCAGAAAAGCTTTCTGTTCACAATGCAGTTTAAGCTTTCGCTGAAGAATAAAAGAATTCGTGACATCAAGAATCAGATAACAAGACAGACTTAAATCGTCTAAGTAAAAGGGATTTGAAACTGAAGAAAATTCTACCTTCCACCCTGCTGATTGTTCCTGACTTGTACGACTGCCAAAATATGGTACATTGGAAGCGAACCAGTTGTAAATTTCGTTCAATCTCATACGACCATTAAAAGTACTCTTCAGCGCTCTGGCGATCAATTCTGAGTAACTTTCCGCACCCCAAGGATTCGGTTTCTTTATGCTAATAAGACCATTCAGCCGTTTTCGGACGCGTTTCCTCTTAACCGGTTTTCGCTCTCTATGACTTTCCGAATGTTTTTCAACTGACCCTTCGGCAGTCTCTCTGCGTGCAGTGAAGTACGGTAACGGTACGGTGGCATCAAAATCAGCGGCAGTAGGTACTAATATTTGAGTAGTACAGTTCCTTGATATGTTAGATCCTGAACATGTAGTACTGCTAAGAGTATCTGAAGGTGGCAAAGACTTAATAATAGACATGCTATTACCGTTCGCTGATTGCAGACCTGAGCTGGATGTTGTATGCGGATCAACGGATGCCATGGTTAAATTCCGAACTGAACCACTAACAATAATATGTGCTGGTGAGGACGTCGGACTGCCTGAGAGATTTTCACCTGAACCAGCCAGAGAAAGCACGTCTGATGTGTTCCCTGCAGTTGAAACCAATTTTAAAACCGACAACTGTGCGGTACCATTACTCGGAACGATGTTTTGACTCGTGTTAACAGTAGCATTTGATACAGTCTGAGGTTGAGTTTGTGCTGAAGATGAGTGTGATACTGATAGTGATGGTAAAGCATCTGTAACATGTTGACTTAGGTTCTGTCCAGAAAAGTGGGATACACTTGGGTAAGATGCTGCAACATTCGATTTCATTTTGTCCATGTTTGCGGCTGAAAGCTGCATGTCACTCTGTGTCCGGAATGGGACCTTCTTCGAATACAAGACAATACTGTGTTTTTCTCTACTTAAACCCATTTTCGAGGTTGATTCTAACTCTTGGCTGCCGTCTGGCTCTGGAATTAGGCTGAGATTTGACTTCAGTGCTTCAGTTAAGCTCGTACTGGAAGTAGCACTAATACTTGCGCTAGATCCATGGGACAGTAAATCTGGAGTATATCCTCTTGGCGATAAGCCTGGACCTGCTGCCCCAATTGCAACGGCACCCAATTCAAGATGAACTAACTGACGCTCAGGCCAAGTATGTGAGCGACCACGTCGCTCAAATTCAGCATAATCATCCAGGTTCAACTCTGAATTTCTTGCCTCCATTGTATCTTCTTCTAAGAACAATTATACGTCCCAGAAAACCTGAACGATAAGGTGAAACAATACAGGAAATTTTGCCACTAGGCGTGTTGCCTATCACAGTAACAGAAGCCGCCAACAGCAAAACAAACTGTCGCTCTATAGGGGGGAGAGAAGGTGACGTCCACAGCTAGAATATAAGCAATATACGCAAAGATTATTTCAGTGAAATCCGAAAATCCGACCCCAAATGAAGAACGGAATATATGACAGATCACATCAATAAAAAGCGAAAATTTGGAATGTATGGTGGAGAAAGTGCGCCGATGGATAGGGTGACCTTCGGCCGCTCGATAACGGTTAGCGTTCTGGTCGAGATGCTGCTGATGAATAGGGGTATGTCCAGCAGGACGATCCGCTGGTCACTCGGTGGTGTACAGCAACTCTTCTACCCTTTGGTCGAGTCCTGGTCCGTTGACCCTTCTTCTTATGCCCGATAGACCTCCCTCCATTTCTCGCTAGAGCAGCCTCTCTCTTCCTACGTCCAACAAGCAAAACAGTGAAGATAGAGAAATGGAGCAAAAGAGGAGAAGCAATTTTCGACATTCATACGGAGAGTTCAGAGAAGAAGACAAAAGCAAATATTAAAAAAAGTGAAAGAAGTGACAGAGTTAGAGTAAAGAAAGTTGAGTCTTCCGGGGGTATGTTTGGAATGACATTAAAGCACGAGTAAGTGATAAAAGGGGACAAATTAAGTTTTGTAAGGTAACCAAAGAAACTTGTTATTTCGACCTTCTGGAGCTGGTAAAGACAGTCGGAGAATTACATTGTCAGGCTAGACTGGTCAATCAGTCTCACTGTACTCTTTGGTTCTCTTATCACCTAGGCCACTTATTAGCTACGACATCTAGAGGAAGTCTCTAAAAACCTGGAAACAGACGAATCTCGAGGAAACCATAGTTACTAAGTCACATCCATCTGCTAGTTACAGTTATGCATTTGCATGTGCAACAGAACTGAAGTGCCTAGCCAATAAGAAAGTACAGCCATATCTTCAACAATTCAGGTTTAATTTATCAAATTTCTTTTTTTGTGTATGTGTTGAATTTTGTTTTTTCACCGCATATTCATTCGGTTCTTAATTTCTGGTTGAAAAGAAAAATAGGCCAGTAATGTAGATGAACTAATGAGGTTTATCCGAGAACAGCACGGAAAGGGAAGACAAGCTACGAGGATTAAAGATGACAGCAAATTGTTGCAACATCTCATCGATTGTTGGAAGTGCAGGGAGAAGGGAGCCGGAGGTCATTCAAAGCTTTTGCTCCACTGAATAACCAATAATTCGAAAGAACAATCTATAATTACTCACAGGAGTTTTGAAAAACTTATAAATTACGTTCTCTGTTTGTATCTGAAGGACTGAAATTTGACTTCAAAACCTAATTATTTTCAGAAAAAGTTCCTTCCTCTCCTCTCCATAAAATTTCGAGATTTCTAACCATTTAGCCAAGTTACATTTGCAGTATTTTTAGTCCCCGTTATTCTAAATTTCTCATCAATCCTCAGGTTGGTATTATTGACAATAAATCAAAATCGTTTCCAGAGATGGTTACATTTGTGTCCTATCATGTATGTTAAAATATCATCGGGTGTTTGGGTTCTTCGACTCATCTCTTTGCGAGCTGATGACTGTACAAAGTACCAGCAGCAGCAGCTGCTGCTGCATCACTCAGATCAGTAATTAATAATTTCATTAATAGTGGTACCAAAAATCATGCAATAAAGCAAATCCCCGCATCTATTTCAAATTCTATTCTACATCAAACTGATCAATCATTCGAAAGATGGAACTATTTAGGACGATATGAGGTTACTTTTAACGGCATCACCTTATTTCACTCAATCGAACTTCGTTCATCTGATGTTAAAAGATAACATTCAACATGTGACCTGATCTGACCTTATTTCAACGAACAATTTCATCTTTTTATTCAGCTGTGTAAATGTGCATATTATGGTAGCTAATAACAAGGGTGCACTAAAGTGTACTCCGCAACCATTAATCGTCCCTTAGCATATCCGTACCTCTCTATTCGATATTTCTCTTAACAAAAAGTCTGAACTTCACAACGAAAACCGATAGTCCTCTCTCTTTTTACCAGTCTATTTCTCAGCAGTTCCATGTCGCATCTCTTTTACTCTCTCCATCTATTCCTTCCACTGGGAAGGGATGATGCGAGACATTCACTTAGTTGTTATGATGATGATGATGATGGAAAGAAGGCATTGAAAGTTATTTTGTGCTACATGTCCGTTTATAAAGCATCAAAAATCATCGATTAAACGTCAAACTATGGGAAATAAATTTCGACAGACTGAAGGTCAAATGAGTTTGAGTTTGGGAATCAGAAAGCGATTTCAGATAAAGAAACCAGCAATCAAATCAAAACACGAATGGCCAGATCGAATCTCCCCACTATTCGAGTCAGTTGAACTAATGATCTGTCGATAGATACATGCACTTATAGATGCTATCTAAACAGGCAGTCATATAACGGTTAATGTCCGCGCAGGGGTTCCAACATTATAAGATCGACGTCTTTCGAAGTGATACCCAAATGTTCTCTCGGGACAATATCAGAGAATTTAATTCTATAAAATCTGCTGTAAGCTATAATATAAAAAAAGCAACATAAAAATCCACAAAAAGATCCACATAAATATAAAAATCGGCAAAAAAAGTAGTGATTGGAGAAAGACAAACCTTCCAACCGGCAGAACTGTTGGAATCACCCTTATCTCTGAAGTATGGAACATTCTGTACCATCCATTCGTACACTGTAAAAGGGATAACTTATAAGAAATGAAATGAAACAGTGAAAATACTATTAGAACTTTTAATACCTGCCAACAACAATGATAAAACTGCAACTAAAGCTCTAAGGCGTATTGTCCATTGGTAATGATTAAATAAGCAGAGTTCATTACCTTGAGAAAGAGTTAGTCGCTTCTCAGGTGAACTAACAATGGCTTGTGTGATGAGATCGGCATACGACATATTACCCCAGGCATTGCGGCGCGTCGTCGATTTCTTACTAGATACAGCAATACCCGAATCGGATGCGTCGGATGGAGTGCCGGAAGCTCCGACAGGACCTGCTGAGCTTGCTCCGCATGGTACTGGTGATGAAATCCTGCAGTTTATGCTCACTTTCAACACAGAAGTGAAGATCCAGATAAAAACGCGATTAATAGTTCTACTTTGCTCATGATGTTTTACTAAATAAAATATGTTACAACCACATAATAATGAATTTGATTTTTTTTTAAAAAAAAAATTGCATTACCCTGGTGAGAAGGAGCCGCTTTCTGGTGAACCCATTAGTGCAGCTGTTGAAGTAGTATCCAGGCGGCCATTGCTCAGTTTCTCAACGCTATCACATAAGCTACAAAGTTTCAAATTTAAGGATGAAAGGTGTAACAAGGCACATTCAACAAGATACTCTTGTACAAAAAGGGAAAAATAATTGCTGCTGCCCAAGAAATACATTACGTTTATCAAAAATATATCCCTTTCATGTTAACTCTAGTGCTCTCATTCTGAGCATCATTCCAGACAAATTCTATAATAATATAATCCTCAGAATCCGAGAGAATTTAAAGACAATTAATTTGACGGTTACGATGCCGCGATAAGCGAACTACATTGCTTGCAAAAGTTTATATATCAGGTACATCCATTAAATACAAGCATCAGAAAGACAGAACTGTGCTGTGCATAAATTTTAATCAGTCAGTACAGCTATTTGATGCAATTTCTTATTTATTCCTTTACTTACGAATATATTAGAGCCAGAAAAACTATAAAAATTTCAATCAATTACTAATTTCAGCTCTTCTACTCAAAATAACAAAAATAGTATACTACGATATTAACAAAAATGAAAAAGTCGGACAAAAGTGGAAATTAGTCCATAATTACTTGCATTGTTTAATGAAGATAAAAAAAGGAATACACGAAAACTCCAAGATATCGTGGAGTAGCCAAGAAAGTTTCACAGAGAATAACGAAATTAAAAAGCAATTGAAAATTTAAAAAGACGAAAGTAAATTGAAAAGATAAACGGAAACCATGAGATAGCGCAATAAGTAATGTCAATGAGGGAACACCATAAAATAGAGACGGCCAAAAGTGGAAAGATATCGAATATCACAATAAATAGCCAACAAAACTGGACTTGAAGTCTCTCTACAATCACTAGTATTATTCCATTTTCTTGGATTTCGATGTGTTACATTGCGTGTTGTATAACTGAAACCAAAAGTAGGTTATAGATACCGTCCTCGAACTATCTATCACCTCCACACTACGCATGATACGGAAGGATGCTATAACCGCCTCAATCCACACTGCTCATATAGAGTGGTAAAATTTGTAAGTGCAAACATCGATGACGCAGCTACCCATTCCAGTGAAATGGGGTGAAAATGATATAGTCCGAAGTTCATTTTGTCACACTGAAGTATCAAATTTTTTTTTTCAGAATAAAACTGGAAACAAAAACTGAAAAAATAAAATAACAAATTTCAGAATAAAACTGGAAACAAAACTGAAAAATAAAATTTACTGGCTGAAAACACTTTTTCATTCAAATATTTCTAAACATAATCGACAATCAAGCACAATTAAGTGATAAGCATAAATGGCTTATCGAGAAAGTTGACGATAACTGTTGAATAGTGAAAAAGGTAAACAGAGGAAGAAAAAATTGAAGAATACCCAAATAACAAGTATCACAACAAGAAATTTTTCACTGCATACGTTTTACTTGTACTCTCTGGCGAAACAGAACCGGAGCTAATCTCGAATCAGAAATGGTATACTGCTGATAAGTTGTGTATTTCATATTTTTATCATTCTCTGTTAATGAATGACGAGATATTTGGGATGGACATAACTTAGATTAAGGAGTTTATTTACACTCTAACTGTTGGTACCTGATGAATTTTGCACTGTAATTCGTAAAGAAAGAAAGATATCTCATCCGTGATCGAGATTGCATTTATGTCAACTACATCATAGTTCATTTATCGAATGTTTACGTGTAACTGAGTAGTATGGAAGTATTGATGGATGGTAGGTAATATGGAATGAGAGGTTATATCTTTCTATTACACTAGGATGTACATTGCAAGCAACGGGAAACTTTTTTATAACTCGCAGAGCGACGGTAAAACATCTGGTATAATAGTCACCGTTTGAAAAAAGTGGGACTTGGACATATCAAGTCAGACTATTGAATGGCAAGAATGTTCTCTTTCTTCCTTCACCTGCCTGTCCCTATTCTTCTCAATGCTTCGTCGAGCACTACTTCATGTCACTGTTTTTGGGTTACATGCTAATACAAAAACACCTATCAACACCGTCACAGTCCTCACAAACATGAATGAATGAAGTACGATGTAGTTGACAGAAGCGCAATCTGAGTAAAGATGAGGTATTTCCTTTTTTCTTTTTTATAAATCAGCACAAAAAAAAAAAATCACATTTTACAAATTACAAGTTATCATAAAAAATTCATTGAATATCAACAGTTAGACCTTAATCAACATTATATCCATCCCATATTTCATCATCCATTAGCAAAAAATGCAGAAGAGATGAAATATACAACTTCAGTACTACGCTGTTCTAACTTGTGGACTGAATATGCTGGAACTTGTTAAAACAAAAGCTTTCAAAGTTTGACAAATAACACACTACTGCAGCTATAGCTTTTCTAATTTCATGACTTTTGGAGGATTATTTTCAGTGTTAGAGCTAGCGCTGATTTTGAGATCTGAAACAAGAAGGAATTGAGACTGAATGACGTCCTTAACTACTTAGCATGTGTTATTAAATAAAGGTTTCATCATACAGAGACAACACAACATTTCTGAAGCAAAAATTAGTTGTGGCCTCATATACCAGAACTTTGTAAATGAAGCCCAAGAACAACAGACTGTATGATTTTTGCGACAATTTTTTTGGAGAGGGATCAAAGCATGTTGAAATAAAGGAAAGATGAGCAGTATCTGAAATAACACTTCACTAACATCGAAGTTTCAACATCACTACCTGATCTTTTCAGATTTCATCCTTTTTCCTCATTCTATATAACACTTTACCAAGACTGTGCTCGGTCAACCAGCCCAAAAAATTTTTCGATTGTGGCAGCATTGCAAGTGGTTAACCTCGGTAGTCCATTGTTAGATTTCATCAAGCTTGAGACGTCTTCCATACTTCCGATAGTCTCTAAGTACACTAATTTACGGCTACAAAGATTCACTTTCTCTCAGAAAATATCCAGGACTGATCTACCGCTATGACTATACCTGACTTAGTAGTTAGAACTAATAAAAAGTGAGAAACCTCTAGGACAGCACTCAACGATACATTATAAATTAAAAAAAAAAAGAAACGAAACGAAATAAGCGGAAGTTGAATAAGATTACCTCAGTGTTACGCAACGATTCATGTTGGATAACTATTCTATTGCAAAAGTATGTACATTCCGTATAAATGTAATTGTTGTGTTTTGATAGGACAATGCACAATACAAAGCACAGACAACAGTTTTGATAATCATTGCAAAGCAATCGAAAAGGAGTGATGAGAAAAACTGTCTAACACGGTGTTTAATTCGTGCCATCTGATAGGAACTTACTTGCTGTAAAACAGAATGAAGCAAAATCAATCTGAACAAAACAAACAACATACAGCATAAAATTATATGAACTTTCATGGTAAATACGACTTCCCTGCACGGTAGTGTGTACAGCACACAACCGCTTATAGATATGTTCTGTAAAAATGCAACTAATGTCATCACTTGGTAGTCATAAAATGAAGGCAGAGTTGAAACTACGGGAAGCTGGCTTAGCTTTATCAAAAAGAAGGGATGCTTCAAAATAGATCATTTTTACAACTGTCGGATACAAACATTCGTCAATAACTACAGTAATGCATATCTCTACTTTAATATCATTAATGAGCAAGATGAAGTTTAGCCGTAAAAATCTCAGAAGCGAACTTCATAGAAAAAAGAAAGGGAAACCAATGGCAATAAGCATAATTGCTCATAAAACTGGTGAAAATTAACAAATTTATGATAGTATAGAAATTATTAATCTGTAAACGATTATTATTTGATTCCATCAACAAGAACAAGCATATTACAGAGATCTATTTGATGATATGAAAAGCACGTCAAAGGATTCCTAACTGCTTGAAACCTGAGAAAATAAAACATGTACATCTTAAATTATTATGATACCGAAATATTAGTAGCAATAGTAGCAAACAACAATATCAGTAATAGTTAATAGTAATTAATAATTAATTAAGTAATAATAATAACAATAATAATAATAAGAATAACAACAGTAATAGTAATAATAATAATACTAATAATAATAATAATAATAATAATAATAATAATAATAATAATACTAATAATAATAATAATAATAATTAATAATAATAATAATAATAATAATAATAATAATAATAATAATAATAATAATAATAATAATAATAATAATAACAATAATAATAATAA